TTATATTTAAATATAAATATATTATAATATAAATATAAATATTAATATTATAATATTACTGTTAATATTATTATTAATTTTCTTGTAAAATATTTCCAATACTTACCATTATCACGATTTATTTTAAGCACAAATAGTATGTATGTACATACATACATAACCAACCGATAGCCAAGCGATCTCTCGAAACTTAACCTCCTCCTCACGTTCTCAATGTTTGATTCCGATCGGAATCGACATTTCGACAGCTCGCGAGATGCTGGAAACTTCTTCTTCTTCTTCTAAATTTAAATGGCCCAGGTTTCGGAGTAACCGGTTAAACGTGGCCAGTCGTTTCCAAGACACCGCCAACTCTCCACAGGTAATCCTCAAAAAAGAAGAAGGATGAATTCCCGAGAGCCGAAAGAGACTCCTGAAACAAACGAGGAAACGCGGAAAAAGTTCCCTGTGCCGCGCGCGGCCCCCAGCGGAACTCCACGACACTTAACCGCGGAGGGCCGCGGAGGGGAGGATATACCAAGGAAGATGGGGGGAGGGGAGAGAACGAGACTCCCCCCCCCTCACCCCAGACCCCGTCCCCCACCCCAGCGCGCGAGGTTTAAATAGGAACATCAAAAGACTTAGCAAAGGCGAGTAAGAGTCTGCATAATTTGTGGCTAGGGTTGACAAGCAAAGTAAATATATTATATGAATGAGAAGGGAAAGTTTTATTTAGGTAAAGGACCAGTGGTCGAGCTCTGCGTCTTGTTAGGGGGCAAAAAAAAATTGAGTGATTAAGATCTTGTCTGGGGTCTCCACATTCACAAGCCGGAGACGGTACCATATTTTTCCTGAACAAGCTATAATTGAGATTGTAATGGTTTGATCTCAGTCTATTAATCAATACTATTTCACTCCTGTTGAGCTTCTTTTTAAAATACCAGAGTTTAGCAGTCGTAGCTGAGAAGTACAACGAGTGGTAGTGAGCTCCGGTGTGATTAGCCTTGTCGTTTAAATAATCCGTGAAACGAACGCGAGCCTTTGCTAGTGCCTGAACCTGAAGATCTGAGTAGGGGGTACGGAAAAAACCTCTAGCTCCATCTACACATGCCTCTTTGGCCGTCCTATCAGCCAGCTCGTTGCCTAAGATGCCTTTATGCGAAGGGATCCAAAAGGGGGAGCAGTCAATATTATTATGCTC